TGAAATGCTCTTTATCTATTCAGGTAATTTGGTTTGGATGGAAATGGGTGTCTAACTATTCATTTGCTACCAAAAAAAAATGTGGGTGTTTTGGAAAACCAAGTGGTTAGCCCATTTAACTTGTAAAAACCATCATTTAACCAGGACCCAAAAAGGCCACTAATTCAATTTTCACAATTCTCAACCATCTGGGAATATATAAATAAATAAATAAATAAATATATATATATATATTAAATTAGATCAATGTTTTGTATAATAGGCAGGGGTGAGAATTTGATTTATTATAGTCCAGAATTGAATTAATAGAAATTATTAGAGGAAAAACCAAACCAAAACAAAAAATAATGCAGAACGAGGTAGAAAACTCATCATGGGCAATCATGAGCAAGATTAATTGAAGCTTGCTTTGCCAAGTCAGACCTCTTTTAGAAAGGTTTTGGTTGGTTGCCAGTTGGCTTCTCTCTGTAACTAAAAGAGTTTGACTCTCCCATTCTTTTCTCACAAGAGCCGGTAATACCATGGGATTGCTTGGTTTGATTGGTTGGTTACCAATTAAAATCCACCCATTAATTTTGATAAGGGAAAATTTCCGATTAGTACCTTATAGTTTGGGCCTAGTGCCACTTTGGTCCCCCAAACTTTAAAATGCGACAATTCAATATCCAAACTTTCAAAGTGTGACAATCCAACACCTGCCGTTAATTAGATGTTAATTTACTATTAAGTGATATTTGAAAAAGTCATAAATGTCTTTCAAGTGACATTTGATCTTTATTATTAATCATTTAAATGTTGACAAAAAATTAACAGTTCCAAATCCTTACCTGTTCTGTTCAATAAAGTTGGAGTCATGTTTGTGTGGGCATTCTGGTGACCCCAACTTTCTTGAATAGAAGAGACAAGGATTTGAGACTATTAATTTTTTGTCAATGTTTGGATAATTGATAAAGAAAATTAGCTCCAATCTTAGCAATATGGAGCTTCACTCCTCTTATGCTAACATAGTTATGGTGCATCTTATCCATTTAATACGATACTCTTGCACACAAAGAGTAACCATTTACCCCATTCACCCCAATGGACCTTGATGAAGAGCAAATGACTGTAATAGTTATAAGTTCCATTGATGATGGAGAATAATAGAATGTGAAGAAGGGGCATTTTGGTAAATTTACTTTTATTGTAACGTTAGTGGAGTTGGACTGGAATGTTGGAATCCAAAAGTACAAAGCACCTCATTGTCGCAAGTGAAAGTTCGGGCCCTCAAGTATCGCTACCCCAAAGTAGAGGATAGTTGTATGTAAATTTCGCTATAAAATACCCTAACATAAGTATGGCACCCCTTAAACACCATGACTTTGTCATTGTATATAGTTTGGTTAAATTCTCATTCTTTCTCATTCTTATCGAAGATGAAATTCTAAAATGGACATGAATGAGTAAGAATAGACATAATGAGAAAATTTTGATATGAACTAAACGTTTTTTTCCCTATAAATGAATTATTTTCAGAATGACAAGTGTCTTATATTGCTCATTGTCAGCCTATGTTTGCAAAATTGTTAGCATAGATGTTTACCGGTGGATGGCCGACAATCAATGTTTGTTGAGGTGAGTTTTCATGCTAGTCCAATAGTAAATCTCTATGCATATATGATAATAGTTTTATAGGCAGAGTTTCCTCAAATAATGGAAATGAGCAAGATGGGACATGATTATTGTTCATGCTTGAGGCTACTTCAGTTTTTGTGCTATGGACTGATTTTTTATTCTAAAAAGAATGTAATCCATGGCAAGAATTTTGTAACCAAACATTCTAATATTATTTATTTTTGTCTATTCAGCTATTCTTACCCAGAACAAACAAGAATTAAATGAATGAATCCCAGAGTAATGAACCAAACTTGGCCTTAATAGCTAATAGATGAAGCTAAACTTGGATTGATTACTATGCCATTGATGCTTTTGTTGTTCAATCATTGTATCCACTTAAAAGACAAAGCAATAAGCTGATTAATTTTTAGTCATATAAGCTGTTACCAAATGGTCTCAATGCTTGAAAGGAGACATAATCATCCAAGCCTTGTCCCAGCTACATGATTCATGTTTCCTCATTCAATTATGTTCATGAGCAATAACATAATTAAGCGAGAACATTATTTTTAAGAGAATCAAGAAGTAAATAAATTGGGATAACTCAAGTCCAACCTAATGGATTAGGTTAGGGCTATGGTTGCCTGGTTGGGGGTTCAATAACTCAGTTATGGTTTCAGCATTTGCAAATAAGATTGTAGTATGAGATTTTCACCAAACATTGCTTATAAGCTGCCCGGGTGAGGGTCAACTTGAAAAGTTAAAAGCTGCTACGGAAAAGTCCTCGTTTGGGTGGGTTGAAGTTTCGATTGAGCCCCTCTGGGAGGGTTTTTAAACAGTGACTTCTAGCGTTTCATGAGCTGAAAAAATTTAGAATGTCCTGAAACCATTTCGTAAATCCATGTTTAGTAGCTTCCATGAGCTGCAAAATGAACTTTCCAATGAAGCTATCTCAGGTAGCTTTTTTCAGAGTGGCTCAGTTTACACAGCTCAATCAATGTAGAAGCCCTCCAAAATGGGCTCTGAAGCTTTGGCTGAATTGCTTTCACTAAATCGTTTTAAATAAGCTACTAAAACTAGTTTTATTAAAAAAAGTCAATTTCATGTTTAATGAGCTGCTTTCACTAAGCTGTTGCATGAAAGCTCTTGGAAATAGGCACCGAGCTATTTTACTTGACCCACTTTGAAGAAGCTACCTATACTTTTTAAAATGCTATTCTGTTTTGTTTTGTTTTTTTTTTTTTTAATTTTCGGTTGCAAAATCTATGATGCATATGATGCACCATGCAACCAAAATATGATTAATTGAAGGTGATGACTAGTAACTTATTAAACATGAAATTAGTAAAACATGAATCAATGAAATGAAAATTAAGCATACTTCAACGTTATTGGTTGAATAAACATCTTAATTGAAATATTGAATTCTCTCTCTTTTGGCTGAATGAAAGCAAAGCCCAAATATGTTTGGCAAAAAGTCAAGCAAAGCTATATTTGGTTAAAGATCGAGAAAACATTAGGCCAAATGTTTGGGAGTGCTTAAAAATAAGTGTTTATTTGGGCCATTAAGCACTTATTGGTATTTAGGAAATAAGTCCGAAATAAGTGTTTATTTTAAAAATTAGGGCTTATTTTTCAAGTCCAATTTCCTGCTTTTTTTAAGTGCTTGTACAATAAGCACTTATTCAATTTATTTCTTCCAAAATCCCTAGTTGAATTTTAAATTACCACTTATAAAATTATCCCTAGTTGAACTTTATGAAAGCACTTTTATAAAAGCACTTTTAAGAGTACTTTTATGAAAGCACTTGTATGAAAGTATTTTTATGAAAGCACTTTTACAAATATACTTTTACAAAAGTATTTTTTACATAAGCACTTACGAAAGTACTTTTATGAAAGCACTTTATAAAAATGCTTTTATGAAAGTACTTTATAAAAATGATTTTATGAAAGTACTTTATAAAAGTATTTTTATATAAGTACTTTTACAAAAATGCTTTCATRAAAGTTCTTTCACAAAATTGCTTTATAAGGGTACTTTCTTAAAAGTGCTTGTTTTTACGAAAGTGCTTTCATAAAAGTACTTTAATAAAAATGCTTTTATAAAAGTACTTTCAAAGGATATATTTTGAACATTTGAACAAAAATAAATGATAAAATAGTCACAAATACTTATTTAAGTATTTATTAAAAAAAAAGACTACCAAACACCCAATATAAAATAAGTGCTTATTTTTAAAAAATAAATACTTAAAAAAGTGGGATGCCAAATACAAATATATACTTATTCGAATAAACACTTATTTCTCACTTAAGCACTTCCAAACATCACCTTAATATCTTTTATTTAGTGAAACACCTCAAATCTCAATCAACGTTGAAGCTTGAGGTTTGGATAAATACTTATACCTCCCCTCTATTTTATCATACGACTTAAACCTCTCGTTACATTTAATGAAATAGATGAAAAGACTTTCTCACCCTTTGTCATTTTTTTAAATTTTCAAAAGAGCCAATCAAAAGCTGTATCCATTTTGAGGCCACATTAAGGCTTGTTCAAATAACCACGGCACCGATCCCAAAACGATAAACTTGTGGGATTTCAAAATATCCAGAACATGATGTTTTATACATCTAAAGACTTTGTTTTCTTTATTCTTGCCTAGTAGTATTTTCTAGGAATTACGAATTCCTCCGGCATAAACTCGCGTGATTATGAATGGCAGAAAGTATTTTTCAGCTTAACTTGGTGTGCCTCTTTAACAAATCAACTACTGATGATCTACATAATCAGACATGATATAAAGTGCAACAAAGATCTCGAGGGATTTGTAAGAGAGAAACCTCGAGAGAAATTCGTAAGAGAAAAATGGCAGAATTAATACCATAAAGGGGCAAAGTTGGGTTTTTATAAAAATTTCACCCACCCATATGTTATTTCCAAATGGATCTTGATGGATTGCTAAATTGAGGGGAGATTTTTGTCCAATAATATCACAAAAATAAGAAGAAAAGTTTCTTTTACCCAAAAAAAATTGAAGCAAGCAATCACTGTTGCTCACGAACGGGGGGGCCCTATATACCCTGAGTTCCTACTTCCTGCAAGGGGCATTTTCGTCAGTAAAAATTTCCAATGACTAAAACACCCCTCATTTGTCATTTCATTTCTGGTTGCTCACGTTCGTCAGCGGTCGAGCGCAGCTACGTGTGGCCCTGTTTTCCTGACAAAGCGGGAAAATTAGCGGCAAATATCGATCAGGGGTTCAAAAGGTGGCGTGATTTATTTTGGCGCTACATATACACTAGATAACGGTACATTTGATATTGCCTCACAATTTCAAGGGTAGGATTGTAATTTAAACTGAATATTTCGCTCTTTCTCGTCAGTTGAGTAACGAATCAATGTTCAATCAACGAGCGAACGAGCCAAGCAAAGCAATTCCTCTCCCCAGCTTTTCCTTCTCGTTCTTTCTTCACATAGCCGAGCGGGAGAGACACAGGGCATAAAACGAGAGAAAACGAGGAGAGAAAGAGAGAGAGAGAGCGAGCTAGGGAGACCTCAGAAAGAATTTGATCATAATTCCAAGATTCAGAATGCAGGATTCAAAGGGTAGGCTTTCTACAACAGTATTTTTGTTTTTGTTTTTAATACTCGCAACTGGAAGCTCAGATTACGCTTGCTTATTTTGTAGCTTTTAAGACTTAGGTTGTTTGATCACTCGACGAATCATCTTCTACCTCTTTCTTGCAGTTTATTGTTAATAAATTCCTATTATGCACATTAGTTCCACGGGGATTTCTACCTTTTTTTCTCCCTCTTAAATACCGTGTTCAGTATGTTTTTGGTCTAATCATGATTTCTAAGGTTTTTATATTTCTCCTTGATATTTGGTGCGTTTTTTTTCTGAGTTTCACCCAACAGTCAAAATATGGTTAATTGAAAAATTGTTTACTAATTCTTTCTTTCTGCTTCTGCAGGGTGTAAATGTTTGGGGACCCTGTAATTTTCTGAAGCTGGAGGGGACTGAGATCTGGGTCTTGGTCCCCGGCAGATGAGTGCAATTTGGTGGAGTTATTTATAAGGGAAAATAATGAGCATTGAGCATCTGCGTAGCCCATTTATAGGGTTTCCACGCATAAGCTCCGTGAAGCAGAGAAGCAATGGTAGCTTATCTTTTGTGGAAAGAGGGAAGTTGGGTACAAGGGTTTTCCCCAACTTTTTGTGCACATATAAGAACCATGGAAGGTATCAAAGGGTTCGGTTTTCACATTTCTATGGGAGAAATGATGAGGGTGCAAGGAGGAATTTTGGGTTGAGAGATAGGTTTAAGATGAATTGTGTAAGGGAGCCATTTTCCCGGAGCAGTGCTGTGGTTAGATATTTTGTCCCCTTCTGGAAGGAGGGGTTGCTGTTCATCAGGTGCTCTGTTTTCTTCGCTGTGATTTCTGCAATAGGGATGTTGTTATGGTGTGGACAGGTCAAAGCCAGGAGTTTTATTGAAGCCAGGCTATTGCCTTCAGTTTGTTCAACACTGGGTGAATACCTTCAGCGTGAGCTTGATTTTGGTAAGGTTCGAAGGATATCACCTTTGAGCATCACACTGGAGTCATGTTCTATTGGGCCTCATAACAAGGAGTTTTCCTGTGGTGAGGTCCATACTATGAAGCTTCGTGTCCGTCCTTTTGCGAGTTTGAAGAGGGGGAAGATTGTGATTGATGCAGTCTTGTCTCATCCGAATGTGCTGATTGTGCAAAAGGAGGATTTTTCCTGGTTAGGTATTCCTTTCTCTGAAGGTAATGTGCAGAGGCGTTGTTCAACTGAAGAAGGGATAGACTATCGTACAAAAACCAGGAGAATTGCTAGAGAGGAAGTTGCTGCTTGCTGGGCAAAAGAAAGGGTTGAAACAGCGAAGGAAGCTGCAGAGACTGGTTATATTGTTCCACAACACAGTTCCAGTTCATTGGGAGCTGATGTACAGATAGAGGTTTTAGGTCATTCTACTGGCCCAACAAAACCTGAGTCACTTTTCTGCATGGATGAGCGGATGCACTGGAGGGATCATCATTGCATGGACACTGGAATTGAATATAGCATGAAGCATGCTGATATAGAGAAATCATTTGGTGTGAAAGTTCCTGGAACTGGGCTTAAGTTCTGGTCTAAAATGATATCACGTCCTATCAGACACATATTTAAATGCAGAGCCAATGGAAAATACATCTCTGCAGCTGTTTTCACTACCAAAAAGAAAAACCTTGAGCGAAGTGCTGCAGCTGCACTTTCATATTTCAGAGGACTACCTGATGGGAAGCATAGCAAACCATTCCAATCAGGCATAGAACCTTCATCAGGAGGCTATGGTGCTACTCATCTTGAGGCTCTTGTTGGGAATTATGAGGACGCTGCTATTGCTGGTAAAACTGAACTGAGTGGTACTGATGGAAATAGAAGGTCTGTTGACCCTTATGGGGAATCTAACATGAAGAAGGAGAAAAAATTTGAGCACACAAACTTAGAGACTGCTGCTAGATACACCAGAAGCAAGGGAAATGCAAAGTTAGTGAACAACTTGGGTAATAGTTTTGGATACGGAGCTGATTCAGGGAATCAACATCACAAAGGAGACAATCATAAGACTGTAAATATTAATGGCTTTAGTTTCATGGGGAATCCTTTCCTTTCAACTATTGGAAAAATTAGCAGATTGAGAACATTTGGTGAAAACTTGCCATTCAGTAGCAGCATTTCCAATGCAGGGGAAGTTGATAAGTGTGATGCAAATATCAAGGACTTAAAAGGACTTAATGTTGGGGATACTCCATATGAGTCCATAGTTGGTTCTGATGGTTTACCGGACCAAATGTTGAAGTCTTTCAATGACAATTCTGAGAAAGACAGTAATTTTAAATCTCAAGGTGCATTTTCCATTAAACCTGAGCCATGGCTAACAATGAACCATTCAATTCCCATTTGGCCATTGGGCTTGAAATCGGGTTTACCCTTTTTCTCCAGAGCTATTGGAGAAGTTATATCTGATCGGCTGGCTGGTAATGTTCAGAAACTGAAGTCACTCATGGGTCTAAAAGTTGAAGATCTTGTTGCTGAACTTGCAGAAGAGATGGATGAAGTGCATACTGAGGGTATTGGAAAGACACTTCCGGTTACGCTGGATTCTGTGCATTTCACTGGGGGAACATTGATGCTATTAGCATACGGAGACAGGGAGCCCAGGTGCGGGTCATCTCAGTTATATTCAAAACTTCATTCTTCAGAAAATAAGATCAATGTTCTTCATGGTTATGTTTTTGTAATATTATTTAATTGGATTTCGGTGTTTGATTATTATCTAATTTTTTTTCTTAATTTCATTATTTTTTGGTAATTTAAAGTGTTAATTATCAAAACATATGGGTAGAGTATACACAACTGAGTCCTTAAAAACCTTAATCCAGCAATGTAATACCCCTAACAGTATAGTAAATTGGTTAAAGAATTGTTGAATTGGTGGATCTGAAGGCCAAAAGATTAGGAATGCATTCCAAACTCAGAGTCTGCACTTCTTTAATCCAGTACTCCATGGGCAACTTGATTTACCTCTCAGACAATCTGAGATTTCTCCTCAATAACAAAACATTGCTGAGGGTATAAGAAACTTTTCTTTTGTAGCTTTTTATTTATTGGTTGGAGTTGAAAGTTTGATGTAGCATCAATTCCATATCCTGTTTTCTTGGTAGATTACAGTATTGAGTGTAGGGGTAATTTTGATTATGAAGTTGTTAACCAGAGGGTTATTGGTTGGCTACAGAAGGACAGTGGACTTTGGAAGTTTCCAATGAGAGAAGGGAGTTCAAATGGTTAACCAGAGGGCTAGAAATTCAGATTCTATGGGTGAAGAGAAGTGCAAATGCTTTTGCGGATACTCTAGCAACACAAGGGGTGGGAAGGGAACAAATGTTCTGGGCTATATTGTAATGTTTTGCTTCTTGACTTTCTTGGGGAGAGTTAAGACATTTTATCTCTCCCTGGAGTATCCTTTGTATCTTCTGATTTCTTAATAGGGGGTCTCTGTTATTGATAAAAAAAGAAGAAACTGATATCTTTATCTTCCACCTCTCCTAGAGCCAATTCTCTCCTACTCAAAGAAACCCTATTCCATATGGTCATTTGCCTCTTTACAACCAATTATTGCAAATTAGGCCCATCTCTCCTGTCATTTCTAAATTCTAAATCTGTATGCTCACTAGCAATGAGTACACAATCTAGTAATTAGTCTCCTGTTTGAAGACCTTGTTCACTACAGTTCATAAATCATTCAGTTTTGACAGCTGATTGGGCATACTATAGGAGATGATTTCAGGAGGGAGTTTCCTCTTTCTCGGTAGATCACATTTTTTGATAGATGGGCCTTGTTATATTGGTGGTAACTGGCAGCCCATCCTTGGAATTTTGGGCCCTTGTTTCAGGATTTTCTATCTAATTCCTTTATTTTTCTTAAACTTTTTGTTATAAATCAAACAAATACAGAATGAATTAGACTGATATTAGTTGTAGGCTGATCTGTTGTGAAGTAATGTGGCTTGTCAGAATCTCTTATCTGGTACATCAGCATGTTAAAGCAGAAGAATAGGGTAATGTGGTATTTTTGCAGACAAAAAAAATACTGATTTCAAACATTCCAGACACGAGATAACAATTAGATTAACAAAGAAATCTTTGATGCTTTCTTTTTTCAATTTCACTTTGTCTTTATTTCTGAAAGCAGTTGTTTGTTACCCGAGTTATTTTACCCGTGGTGTCTAATTCCATAAAAACTTGGCATTTTCTGTGGACCGTGTAAAAGAAACTTCTCTGAAGTATTGGGTACTTTGCCAACTTTTCAATGTTTTTTAATTATTTTTATCCTTTTTTTTTGATAAATGCTAAGTGTATTGATTTATGTTACCTATCAAAAAAATTGTATTGATCTATGTATTAAAACAAGTGAGAGATTCCATAAAATTTGTGCAGAAAGATACAAGTTTAAACCAGTCTATGCATCTTAGGGGCCATCTGATAACAGCTGAAGTTGCTGAACTGAACAACCTATTGCTTTGTCTTTTAGTGGGTCAAATAATAAAATAATAAATAATAAATAATAAAATAATAAATAATAAATAATAAAATAATAAAATATTCAAGCGTATAGTTATATACCTTTTTCAGCTTTGGCCATTAAGGTCACAACCTCCTTAAAGACTTATTCACTAAAAGACAAACCAGTAAGCTTTTCAGTTCAGCCATTTGAGCTTTTATCAAACAGCATCTTAGAAAAATGAAAGAAAAACAACAGGAGAAGTATCAAACTATTGATCAGCTTTCAGAGCTAGAATATAAAAAAAAAACTATATATACTCAATTACTCATTGACCCATGAAATGTTGGAACTGAGGCATCTGAATTACTTTAAGATGCAAACCCATTGTACAAAGTCTCTGCTTTAGCAATGATATTCTCCTTAGATTTGGCTTTCCTATAATATATCCTGCTATTTCATTCACTCCCAAGTGCCCAACATTATGGCATATGGTGTCAAGTTCCAAAGGATCTTGCCTCTGCTACAAAGATCTGAAGCTGGCCATGCTGCTACCAAATCTGCCAAGTTCCTGGGTATCACCCAGATTCTGTTGAGTAGCTGAATAAAGTGTAGGCAGATACCATACCCAAAAGAGCAGTGCATCGAAATGTGATTGGGTGATTCCTCTACTATGTTGCATAAACTGCCATCATTTTTTTTTGATCAGTGAGCAGAGTAATTTCATTAGGTGTGAGGAAAGAAGTTACATCACAGAATTAAGAACAGATTAGAAACATGACCACTTATCCAAGGATACATATTAACCCAAATCTGCCCAAAAGAATTGATACCTGTGCACCCCTTGTTTTACCAAAGTATCTGCAAATCCGTTTGCTGTTCTCTTGCCCCAGTTGAAGCTTGCCTCAAGGTCTTTTGCTAAACTCTTGATTTATCTGATTAGATGTCTGAACTTCCACACATCTGGGCTGCTGTCATTTGTCCAAGAAATTACTAATTTAGAGTCACCTTCTATTTCCAAATTCTTAAACCCCTGCTGCATTGCTAATTTCAGACCTTGATATAAGGCTATTATTTCTGCTCTTACAGAATCCCCTACTCCAATCAGCCCTGAGAACAAGGTTACCACTTATCCTGCATCATCCCTGAAGACACCTCCAATCTCTGACAGCCCTGGATTTCCTACAGAGCATCAACCAAAGTTGAACTCTAGTCTGTTAGGCTGAGGAGGCTTCTAGTCCATTACTACTTTGTCCTTCATAGAAGCTGAATTTGCTACTTCAAACCGAACTCTACTAATATCAGCCACTGTCACCAATTGGAAAGCTTCGAAGATTTTTACCCAATTTGCCGTTTTGATCTTGATACCTTCTACAATGTCTTCTAAACTCCTGGATTTTTCTTTGAACAATCTTTCATTTCTTTCTTCCCTCAATGTCCAAATAGTTGCTTCCCTGGTTGTCTTCCACAGCAATCTTCGTCTCTTTTTTGCTTGCCTAAAGAAACTTGGTCTGAACAACATAGTGATATCTTGTGGGGGTCCCACATGCAACCAAAGAGAGAAGAAATGCACGACCAAACACAATTTGCAAAGGGACAAGGAATTAATAAATGAGGGATTGTTTCACCATTCACCTTGCATAAGATACATATATGAGGAGTCAGGCACTTGTTTGCCCTTTTTTGAAGCACATCACGGGTATTTATCTTTCCAAGGAAAGCTTCCCAACAGAAGGCTTGAATTTTTGGAGGAATAGGCTTGCTCCAAATCTCTTTCGCTGGGAAAAGTTCATCCACCTCCCTTGAACCTAGGAGAACTAGGGAGTCAAGGAAAGAGGCACAAGAAAACAAACTAGATGGTGAAGGTTTCCCGGTTCTACTATCATCCACCCTTGAATCCAGGAAAACTGACCCTCTATCACAAGCTCACATTCTCTATCCCTTAAACCCCTTCTAAAGTTGCTACACCTTAAAGTTGGCATTTACACAATTGGCTGCCAATAGTCTCATGGTACTCTTTGATGGTAACGTCTTTGTTTTTGCGCCAAGCTGAACAGAGGTGTATGATTCACATAGAGATCTTTGTCCCACACTACAGGAAATATCTAAAAAAAGCTGTGATCTCCAATTCCAGGTTCATGCCAAATGAATTGAGAAGAAGGATTACCACCATTTGTAATACCTTTCTATCACTTTTGATGATAACGATGAAAAAAGATTACTACCACTCATAATAACTTTCTGTAAACTGGATCCATATGAATTCCTGATGGGGCTCACTCTTAATCACAGGCTTACTGTACTTCTCATGGGTGACTTTCCTCTAGAGACTTTAATGTTCTTCCCCATATCTCCTGTAACCTTTATTATTTATATCTTTATACTGATATTCCTGAGAGTGGGCCTTGGCAGAATTGTTGGGTCGTTCATTGCGACCTGGGTGACCAGGGTTCAAGTCTTGGAAACAGCCTCTCTGTATGTGCAGGGGTTAGGATGTGTACATCTGTCCCTCCCCAGAGCCCCCATTGGTGGAAGCCTCATGAACTGGGCTGCCCTTTTTTATTGATATTACTGTTTAATTATGTTTTCTATATATACCTTAGTTGAACATTATATATTTTTACATATTTATTTATTCAACATACGCTTGTATTTTCATTATTTAATATTAGATCTTTTTTGGTTATTTTATTAATTATTGCAAACATCTTACCTTAGTTGCATCAACAAATTGTGCAAAATTTCAAAATTTCTTTGAAACCTTTTCAGGCCAAACTCTTGTGATTCCTTTTTTTTGTTCCCTGCAAACAATATCAAAGTTTTGCAAGAATTTATGAAACTTTGGCGAAAATAAAAACCATAATCTTACCTAAGCCATGCCATACTCAAGCACTGTCAACTTTTCAAGAATCTTCATGCTGTTTCCTTTTTTGTTCATGGAAAATAAGATTGAAGTTCTTTTTTGACAAGTGCAAATAAGATTTTTCTTTTTTTTTGATCAATGAGTGCAAATTAGATTGAAGTTTTGGAAGAATTTTCTGAAATTTTGGGAAAGTAAAAAACCATGATATTTCCTAAACCAGGCCATACTCAAACACAACCAATCTTTCAATAATCCTTGTACTGTTTAGAAGGCTGTTAACCTGAATTTCCCTTTCAATTAAGTGGATATATTTATTTTTTAAGGAAACTACTATTGTGTAATGATTTGCACTAGAAAATGCAGTTTGAAATTTTGATTTGTTGCCCCTTTTATTTACTATATATATTTTTTGGTTTTGGTGTCTTTAGGGAGATGGATAATGTCAATGGGCATGTAAAATTTCAAAATCATTATGGCCGTGTCCACGTACAGTTGAGTGGTGCCTGCAAGGAGTGGAGATCAGATATGATTTCTGGAGATGGTGGTTGGTTGTCTGCAGATGTGTTTGTTGACAGCATTGAGCAGAAATGGCATGCTAATTTAAAGATTGAAAACCTCTTTGCTCCGGTAAGGTATTTAGTGCTTCTCTGCTGGTTTTTACATGGAAAAAGTAAAAATAATGAGTATCCTTCTCATCTATAAACTTCTGAAACTTTTATGGTGTTGTTGTGCAGCTTTTTGAAAGGATTTTAGAAATTCCAATTATGTGGTCTAAAGGGAGAACCAGCGGTGAGGTGCTTCTCTAACTTCAATTTGATTTTTGACTGTAAACCTTTGGGGGGTTTTGTCATTTATGTACTAGTATCCTCAATTCCCCTGGTCTTTAAGAATTTTAATGTGGGAATAATTGTTTCTATTTTTATGGTTATACGAAACATTTTAAGCTTGATATAAAAGCAACAATTGCTCATTTGCTCCACAAATTTTGGTCATCTTAAAAAGTAGGATATTGTTATTGCTGTTTTGACTTTTCTTTTGATGAATGCTGAGAAAGATTTCATTTAAAAGATGGAAATATACAAGGTTGTTTTTGTGCTTTCTTTGGCCTGTGCTGAGGATCTTTTGTAAGTTTGCCCACCTGCTTTGGTTTTGAGCATTATGGTTTTTTTTTTTTTCTTATACTTGGATTTACTGTTGTTAGCAGAACAGATTTAGGATGAAAAACAACCCAGAAAAGAAGAAGAAGAGAGAAAGAGAAAAAAAGGAGAGAAGGAAGAAGAAGAGAAAGGGGGTAGATTTTTATTTTTTTTTTTTGGGGGGGGGGCGTGGGAGAGAATGTTATGTTGCTGCCTCTCTAAACATTATTATTTATATGTGCTAACATATAAAAAGATTGAAATACCCTGCCGCCTATAACAGTACAAGAGAAAAAAAAGGAGAGAAGAGAAAGGAGGCAGAATGTTTTTTTTTTTTTTTTTTGTGGGGGGGGGGGGAATGTTATGTTGCTGCCTCCCTAAACAGTATTATTTATATGTGCTAACATATAAAAAAACTGAAATACCCTGCCGCCTATAACAGTACACTAAACAGCAAGAAAAGATGAAAGAAAATAACAAAATAATAAAATGATAAAAAAACACAATGAATGGGGCCACAAGAAGGTCTGGTCCACTGTCTATACTTATCTAATGAAATTCACCCTGTTGGTTAACAAAAAAAAAATGGAAATATACAAGGTGTAAGGAAGTTTTGGGGTTGCACCCTGTGTATAAATTATAGCCCACTGAATACAGAAAAATGTTTGTGTGCGAAGTATTATCCTTAAGTTCCAAAATATCTCAAATATTTTGGAAGCCATATTTAGCTTCAATGAACTGCCTCCACCAAACTTCATATTCATTTCTAAATTGTTAATGCCACTTCCTCAACAATGCCATGCCATTGCCTTCAATCTCTTGATTTCTAGATCCCTCATCCTCTATCAGGGAGCATACCAGGTAGTACTTATATTCTTCCCTGCACCATTTCCACAAGAATTCCCTTAAGAGTTCTTTCTAGCATTTTTTTCCACCTTTGCAGGAATGGAAATAAAGGGAGAAAAAAATAATACATAGGGAGGTTATCAAGTGTGCTTTAATCAATGTGAGCTTCCACCCTTTCAAGACATACTTTGATTTCCAAGTGGGTAAGTTCAAACCATTCCACAATTAGGTCCCACATATATTCTTGTATTTTAATATATATATTTTTTGAATATGTCTATATATATGTATGTATGTGTGTCTATTTGTATTTGGGTGGTTGGTTGGTGATGAACATTTATACCTTTTCTTCATTCTTGTACACCATCTCATATGTAAACATCTTTTTGTTTCATTTCACATTTTCCTTTTTGAATGCATGTGTTCTCTTCTCATGTTTACAGCCACAAGGTCACAAATAGCCATGCAGATGGATTTGCTAGTGAGGTCATTTAGTCAGTTTTCCTAAACAACCCAGTAATCTTTCAAAAGGCAATTCATTTTGGAGCTAAAAAGGAGTATCCGTATGGAGAAATTTTGGCCTTAGGTATTTTGCCCTGTGTTCAAAGTAAACATCTTTTATAAGTAAGCTTTAAATGAAGAGGTACTACTCGCTAGTAAATAATGAGTTTATGCAACTTCAAAATTTCTTGCCCTATAGGCAAGGTGGAACCTAGTAAACATTACCAACTTGTCTTGTAATGTGTCTTTTCATGGGTCTCATCACATTTGTAGAAAAAAAAATTTCAAGGGTTGCAAAAAGTTGTTGTTTACTATAATTCCTCTTAAATTAAAAACATGTCATCTGAGCAGCGGATAAGCTATTGTTCGAACGGAACCAGCGGYGAACCCAAACTGTTCATTCTCTTCTCTCCCTGTTCGAATGGAACCAGCAACGGCGAACCAGAGCTGTTCGATTCTCTTCTCTCCCTGTTTGAGCAGAACCAGTTTTAGCATCAAGATATCCCTCCCCATTCTGACTCAGCTCCTCTAGCTCACCTCCTTAATCTTTTATTCCGTTTCATTCCCAAGCTAGAGGATACACAGTAGCAGATCGAATCAGACTAAGATATGGAAGCAAGAAAAGAAACCAGGATTGGGAGTCGTGGCTGAAAGTTGCAGAAGGTGGTCGATGAAAATGTTCCAAAAAAGTTTTCCTAGGAGTGTCCAAAGGGGAGGAAAGAGATGGGAAGCTCAGAACTGGTACAAGAGAGAAGGCATGGGGGCATGACCAAGACCAAATTTCTCCTACAGAAAAGCGGTGAAAGCAGGAGTTTGGCCTGACTTGGGACGTTCTGATCTGAAAACTGTCGAAGGTAAGCTTATGATATTTACAGAGATGAACGGGGTGGAAGCAAGAAGGAAGTTTTTAAGGGATTGTTTAGTTGGTAGATTTGGGTGGAAGGTGGGGTTAAAGGAGGTGGAGATCTGGGCTAATCAAATCTGGAAGGAGGTGGGGGGAGTGATGGTGAAGAAGTTGGCGGATGAGCTCTTCTTGTTCATCCTGCCTTCCAGAGCGGAGGCGCGATGGATCCTTGAAAAAAGTCCATGGTCAATGGGGAGGAACCCTCTTCTTCTCGATTGGTGGGGAGCTAGTGTGGGCTGTTTTTATCCAGAGTCGGAAAAGGACTTTGACTGGTCGGAGGATATCTGGATTAGGGTGTTCGGCCTGCCTCTGCTTCTATGGTGTTCGAGTGTCATCAGAGCAATCGGGGATGCGTGCGGTGGTTTTCTTGAAACAGAAGATTCTCCCTCTGAGCTGGCTACTTGCGAATGGATTCGAATGAAGGTGAAGAAGGGTGGCTTGATTCCGGAGAAGGTGGAGATTGTTGCTGGGGAAGTTCTCTTCTCAGTTTCCATCTGATCAGAAGTCCTTCCGTCAGTTCGGAGGTGGAAGACGAAAAGGCTCACAGAAGAGGGAACTCAAAAGGTCAGGGAGGACTCGATGGGCTTGAAGACAATAGTCTTAGAGGACGTCAATGAATGCTCCCCACTGCATGCTCATCCAGTTAATCTAGGGGGAGGAGGACTGGAGTGGGTGAGATTGCCGAAGAAGGAAGAAGAAGAAGATCGATCCTGCGGTTCTGATAGGAACCGTTTGATCCCAATACTAACGGAGGGCCAAGATTCAAAAGTCAGGGTGGGCCTTGAGGGAAGTGCCTCTGTTTTGAAAATGGGTTTTCTTGGAGATGGCGATTTGGTTGATAATATTAAAAATTTAATAAAAGAGTGCCTAAGAGACTTAAAAGTGGTGCCTATGGAAGAATGCTCGTTGACGACAATTAATGAGGCAAAACTTCTCTCTGAAGTTGGGGATGGTGCAGATGTGGGAATTTCAAAGAGGGTCCTGGATTTAGATTTGGGTCAGCTAAATCCATTTACCCGGCCTAATCAGAAGCCTAGTAGAAAAAAGAACCTTAAAGCTGCAAGTGAACCAAGATGGGCCGGAAGTAGACCAAGACAGTTCAGCCTGACTAGCCTTGATCCAGCCTTTTCTCCGGACCGGTTTGAACCGACATGGATCACCCGACCTTGTGTACAGGTGGGGAGGACTGGGCTTGCCACTTCGAAGATTCAGACCTCTCCTTCCCCTGAAGTAGAGCCTGGAGCATTCGGCCCCCCAATCTTGTCCTTCTGAAATGGTGAAGAAGGTGAAAACTGATTGCAGAAGACTGAACCAACCTCCCCTTTCCATGGTTCCTTTGAACGAGCAGTTGATGGAGGTGATGTCGCTGGCAGTAGTGGAAGTTGAAGACTAGTCTGCAATTAGGAGCGATACTCAGAATCAACATAGAGTGGCGGAGGAAAATGAGCTAAGTCATGCTGCGGCAGAGAGGAGAGAAGAAAGTGGCCAGATAGTGAGTGTGGGAAATTCAAATCTTGGGACTGTTGAAGCAGGTAAGTCTAGTAGCAGCACTTCTAAGTCCTCTTCCTAGGTCACTTCTAAACTTCTAGGGTTGGGGAGCTTTTTGGGGGTCTCAATGGAGGGAATGGAAGCGGAGACAGTGAAGTTCTTGGAAGAGATAGAACAAAGAATTCTGTTGGAAAGGGGTAATATGGGGGCTAAAAGAGGGGGGACAAACTCCAAGAGGAGAAGAGAAATGATGCGTCTCTCTTTGGGCTTGAATGAGAAGGTTGGGAGCAGTGTTGGGGCAGTTAGGGGGTTGAAGAAAAACTGAGAGGGTGGGGGTAGTGAGTTCTAGGAGTGGGAAGTGTTGGCTCTTCTTTTGTTATATCAATGAATATTAAAATTCTTTCTTGGAATGTTCGAGGGCTGGGGTTTGGGAGAAGAAGAATGGTGGTTTGTGATTCCTTAAAGGCTTCAAATTC